ACTGTGTGAACATTTATAATATTAGTAAGAAATATCTATACAGGGTGTTAAAAAAGTCCCTGGACAGTTAAATATTTTAAAAAATAATGCAGATAGAGCTACAATACTTGGTACAAAGTTACAGGGCATAAAACTCTATTTTAACACATATTCAGTGATCCAATAACTCTTCAGGGGGACGGCCCACAAGGAGTCGGAAGAAAATCTTAAACGGAAGCATAGGTCAATATGCAAATTAAATTGTAGGTCTTTTTTAGTAGAATAGAATGCCGCAAACCGCACTTCAAAAGGTTGATCCTGCGCAAAATGGCAGATGTTCAAAGATTTCTTGAATCCGCCATTTTGAATCTTTGAACGACTGCCATTTTTTACTCAGGCATTCTTTTGAGCTTGAATTTGCGGCATCGTAATCTACTAGTGAAGACCTTTAATTTGATGTGCATATCGACCTATGCTTACGTTAAAAATTTTCTTCCGATTCTTAGGGCTGTGCCCCCTGAGGAGTAAGCGTATAATAGCAATGTAAATTAAATGAATCTTTGAACAACTGTCATTTTGCGCAGGATCAACCTTTTGAAGTGCGGTTTGCGGCATTGTATTCTACTAAAAAAGACCTTCAATTTGATGTGCATATTGACCTATGCTTCCGTTTAAGATTTTCTTCCGACTCCTTGTGGGCCGTCCCCCTGAAGAGTTATTGGATCACTGAATATGTGTTAAAATAGAGTTTTATGCCCTGTAACTTTGTACCAAGTATTGTAGCTCTATCTGCATTATTTTTTAAAATATTTAACTGTCCAGGGACTTTTTTACCTACCACCACTTTTGTTGTATATATAGGTGTGTGTCTTGGTCTTATCATGAGACTTACTGTAATAACTTATTCCCAATATGCGAAATTCGTTAAAAAGGAAATATTCTAATTTTTGACAAACAAATATTACGGCTTATTTGATTTGATTTTAGTTTCAAAGATTCCAGTTCTCGAAAAGAAGATTTAGATTTATAAATAATATAAATATTTTTCGTTTTACAATCTTTTAAAATAACATTATAATTTATTTATGTAAAAGATATTACATTTTAAGAGTGATGTACAGAGTGATTAATTAGGTTTTATTTGGCCTCCTACTGTATAAGGTTTATCTTGGGCTCAAACTAAAGCAAGGTGAAAATGTTACGGTAACCATTTTAAGAACGCTGTAAAATTTCCAATAAGAAACTGTCACACTAAACTAACTAGTGTAATATAATTTGTGATCGACGATATTTCTTCAACATCAAAATTCAATGTCGCTGTTTCAGCATTTCACAAAATGTCAGATCGACTTCATATTGTAGTCACGTAGTGCTTCTGCGTCAAATGACACTGACACTATGTTTCAAAAAGATAAAACACACCCACAAATAAAATTATACAGAAATAACCGTTGGGTACAACCTTTGACAATGGATTGGAACTAAACATTCAATGCCCGTGTTAAAGTTGTGGCCAGTTGCATAATCTAATTGGGCTGCATTGTAGATGTTAGCCTCCGGATTGCCGAATAAAAATTTAAACAAGTTTAAATACCTGATTAAATTTAAATATCTGCAGAAGCACCATGTTTCAGATCCAACATGGAACCATCATCAGGTGGTTTTATTTTTTTATTGCTTCACATAAAGGCCATCAAATGTAAGGTACATAAACATAAACCAAATACAGTACATATCAGTTGGCAACAGACGACAATAACCCGGCGAAGTTTGAGTCCAGTCTGAATAGTAGTAGTCTAGCAATGCGCTATTTTCGTAAAAATATAAAACAAGTTTATTCTTCTACAAAGTTTGTACGTTTAATGATGTGCAAGCAAGAAAATCATCATCACTACATTTAAGCTTAAAAAGAAAGCTGTCTAACAAAAAGTAGCGAGTTAAATAATTTTAGTAGGTCATAATTTCACAGAAGTTAAAATCCTTAAACTTGACATACTATAGATTATTTTTTTATAAGGTGGTAAAAAATTAATAACTGTAAGCCTTAATAACAAACTAAAATAACATACAGGGTGAATAAAAAGTCAAGACCCCCCCTCTAATATTTAAGTAAATATACAGAGATATGCTTTTGGTGGTCGAGCAATCTTAGCAGGAAGTTTCATTTTATCATTTTGAAATTTTTGAGTGTCCCCCCAAAAGGGGAATTTGGGAGGCAACTCAAATATTTTAAATGTAAACCCCCTTCAAGTGACACCTCATTTTAAAGTGTTTACAAAAACTTAAAGAGTGGTGAAAACCGGAGCTCATTATCTCTTCTCTATCCAAAATGGTAGCCCGTCAAATGTTGTGGAAAATCAACGGTAAAAATGTTAATATTGGCTGCCATTTTGGATAGAGAAGAGATAGCAAGCTCTGGTTTTCACCATTCTTTAAGTTTTTGTAAACACTTCAAAATGAGGTGTCACTTGAAGGGGATTTACATTTAAAAATTTTGAGTGTCCCCCAAAAGGGGGGGTTCGGGGGACAACTAAAAATGTTTCAATAGAAACCCCTATCAAGTGACGCCTCATTTTGAAGTGTTTAAACAAACTTAAAGAATGGTGAAAACCGGAACTCGCTATCTCTTCTCTATCCAAAATGACAGGCAATATTAACAATTTTACCGTTGATTTTCCACAACATTTGACGGGCTACCATTTTGGATAGAGAAGAGATAGCGACCTCTAGTTTTCACAATTCTTTAATTTTTTGTAACCACTTCAAAATGGGGTGTCACTTGAAGGGGGTTTACATTTAAAATATTTGAGTTGCCCCCCTTTTGGGGGGACACTCAAAAATTTCAAAATAATAAAATGAAACTTCCTGCTAAGATTGCTCGACCACCAAAAGTATATCTCTGTATATTTACTTGGAAAAATATTAGAGGGGGGGTCTTGACTTTTTATTCACCCTGTATTAGCCTTTTAAAAGGTTCTAACTTCACTGCAATATTTTTAAGAGTTTAAAGGCAATGGACTGAAATGAAAACCCTCGTATTTAGTCTCCACTGGCTAGACACAAATTCAAGTAACTTTGGCATAACATTAGCTCACGTGAACAGTTTGAAACTCTTCATCATCATCTCATGTTATATTCACACACAATCAGGGGTAAGCTCATGCTGCGTTATGAGATGCGCTTGGCTAAACTAACATTACAGTTTGTTAGGGAGCGTTATAGCATGGAAATTCCCACCAAAAAATAACATCATGGTTTTTCCTTTTTATTGTGTTGGTACTACGGTAAAAACATAGTAAGTGTATTTATATTAAGTATATGTCTTCAATGTGGCAGTATTAATGTTGTTGCAAAAATTCTAGCTGTCTGCAGTCCATCCCCTTCAATAAGTTGTGAAACTATTATTAGAAAAATCATAAACCCCCGCTGCAGCAAACCTGCAGACCAAGTGAATTTCAATAACTCTGTAATTATCCGAAATGTAAGTATTGGCGAGTGTCAAAAATCTTTCCTTCGCTAATGGTTATGGCCTATGTTTAAATATTTACTTTTAGACTAAACATATTCTAAGTCCATCATTTTTTCACTTCCGATTAACATAGAATTTTCTTCAAGCTATTTGCAAAAATAAATTAAATGCCTTGTATGTTTTTCTGTTTGGTATTTCTGACCAGCCTTCCACATTCAAAACGCAGTACTTGTATGTCAAGCGAAAAGTATCAAAGTAACTTCGGGCATAGTATAGTGTAGTTTCGTGCAGTGTGAAAACAGCCATAAAGGTGGTTTATTGTTTTTTTCTTTAATGCACAAATATCAATATTGCTTTATGGACGTACTGTAGTGTGAAACAATTAAAAGACGCTTTCTAACCAAAATGCTTTTATGTGCAACGAAGTAAATGATGTTTTTAGTAAAATTACAATAACATCAGGTTCTACAATTCAGTTAAATTAAAATTGACAAATCAACAGATGAAGAGACAAGTCAATATATTCTTGAAAGCTCAGAGCTCAAAGTAACACGTTACATGTCACAGGCGACGTGTATGCCGATATAGGATTGTACCGGTCACGAGTCCAATAGTTGATGGGAGGTTCTGCCACCACTACACTAGTGAGAGTAGGCCATGAGATAGTAGGGATGAGATTATGGATTTTGATACTGGCAAAACTTGGTTTCTTGAACTAACAAATACAATGAGTAAGTCAATTTTTAGTCCAAGCAAAGATTTGGATAATACTATGAGTGAAGCACTAATAACTACTGTAGAGTTTTAAATATAATATCAGAATAAACTATAGATAAAAGTAATGAATAAACTGGCTGGGTAGTGGTATTTCCAATGCATGCCATTATTGTTGGTTTTATCTATATTCGTTTTCCTTATCTGCCAGACAGTATTGTTCTTGTTTTATGAGTTCATTTTTTGCTCTGCCTCAGTCTGCACGCAACTGCCTTATAGTGAACATGCTCAAATATGTAATTTAGTGGTTTTGATTAAAAATATAGTGTAAATTTTCTCTTTTGGTTATTAGCAAAATGTAGAATTGCTGAATGTATTACTTTTGCACACACAACAAAAACATGCTTGAAACGATAAAAAATAGTAGGTTTTGGGTTGTAGGCCTATATAATTTGTTGCTGTATTGTACTGGAAATAATTTGTGATTGGCCTCTAACAACATTGTTTTTTAGTTTCATAAAGGCCTCAACCATTGGGTTGCTTGTGTATCACAAATTATACACATGACCCCGATGAGATGACACATGTGTATCATTTTTTATACACATGGCGCTAAATGTGTTAATGGTAATTTTAAAATAAGTAACATTCCAATGTTATTGGTAAAAGTAGCTGTTTTAAACACTAGTTACATATTTTAGAATTCTTGGTACACGCTCTCCTGAGGAGCACAGGTAGGGTTCTTACAAGGTTGTTTAATGATTATCAAAATACATAGTAGCGAATCATTTATTACATCTTTCCATTCATTACCAAAAACTACATTATACATGTTTGTTATAACTCATGTGGCCCAACCATGTTTCGAGTAATTTTCAGGATCGTTCAAATGACATGGTTTATTTCCAATGATTTTCCAAATCCAGGTCTTTTCAGTAACGGATTCGTTGACTTTTTGTTTGACGTCTCGTTTCTCTATTGCCACAGTGTCGCAGCTGTTACTTGACGTTAAATAGCTTACTTCCAAAGAGTCACACGTCTTTCCGGATATCTTGTAATAAATTGGAGTTCCATCCACCTTCTTGGAATCTTTCTTAAACGTTGCTAGTACCCGATAGTCAATGTAGAACATTGTCTTTTTCCACTCCAATCCATAGTCTATGTAGATACTAGTATCTTTGTAATTACAATGTGCTAGGTCTGGCATAAGTTCTAAGGCTAAGGTTCTCTGGCGTTGGTTTGGTGGACGTTGGTCGGGGTTGACGTCTTTTTCAAACTTTGGTCTAACTGCAAACAAACATTATGTTAAAACTTCTTAGGCTTAATGATTAATAATTTCAAAAGTGGTGATGCAGAAATTGGTAGCAATCCTCGTAACAGATCCGTTGTGTGATTTACGAGCTAAACTCAATATAAAAAGAATAAACATTAATTTACAGGAAAATACCTTATAATGGCCTAACAAACATCATAATATTTGTTTGTCAACGTGTTTATTTTGCTAGATATTTTAATACCCCCACCACAGCAAACCTGCAGACTAAGCGAATTTCAATTAGCCTGATTGGATTTAAACTAAAATGCCTCCAGTAACAAATGAATATATTTTCCAAATTCTATCAAAATATGTTCATAAACAAGCAAACTATAACAGTTAACTTATTCTCCATAAGAATAACATGGGAATTTTAAATTTACACTTTTTTGGAATTTTCTTCGAAACCATTAGGCGCACAATAACGCTTCAATATACTAAATTATTTGGTTTTATAAGCTCTACAAAATGGTTTGGAACGAAATTGTGAAACTTTGTGTTTTTAGGGTCAAAATGGGAAAAATCTATTTTTACCCCATAAAACCCCGTTTTCATAGTCCGATCGTGCTGGTTCACGAACTCGTTCGAATAAACTTAGGTTACACGTTTCTACAAAATCTCATCAAAACTGGATCATTTTTGCTCGATTTATCGTGATAACGGACAAATATAAATTTATATATATATAAATTTGAACGGATGGTGTTTTGGCCTCTATGGACCTAAAATCGAAAAATTAAATCAGTCCTGGGTCCAGACCTTACCATAAGTACTACGGTAATAGCGTATTCACTTTATGGGAAATTCGTTAAAAGGAATAATTGAGTTTCTTCTTGTGAAAATAAGTTAAACCTAAGCCATACAGTAGTTATTATTTTTTTGCTAGAGTTTTTGATTTAGTAGTTAATACTTCACGAGCTGTTCGCCAACATGTGTGGCATCTTCATGGAGTCTTCTTATATTTTCTTATTTTATCACTAACGCTATTGATTGATAGTTAAGATCTAGTCAGGTATTGTTTTTCAAATTACTTCTGGCTAGGCCTAGAGGAACCAATAACTTATCCCGAAATAAAATATTAGGTCCTAGGACCTATAATTGGGGGGAAAACTGGCGGTGTCACAAAACGTAAATGGTCTTTATCGATGACTACAAATTTGCCTGTATCACTTTAATAATATAATATGCAGTGAACCTCCCACACATGTAGAGTGTCAAAATGGTCAAAGATATAAATACCCCCACTTCAGCAAACCTACTAACTAAGCAGATGAACTTTTGCCTGGTTGGATTTTCACGTAAACTAGCCGACCCGTGCGAAGCATTCGCACTGTAGTAACCCACCGCATAATCTTGCTACGCGACGGGACATCCCTATTTCACCCTTTATAAGAATGCACGGACCTGCAGCCGAGTTGCAATGAATGAATTGTTTTTTTATGACTCAGCAAATACACTTAGCTCAGGCGACCAGAGTTCTATGACAAATAATGGCATTAGGGAGTATGTTTAATCTATGGCATTATGTAGGCTTTCCATCGAGCCTAGCCCCACCCTCCTAAAGGTACGTTTTGCCTGAAGCGACAGGTGCGACGGTCGCTAAGCGACTGTCGCCGAGCGGCAGTCGCGGGGTGGTAGACTGTTTTGCTTGGAGCGACAACTTGTTTGGCGTCACGAGACGTGGTACCGTCAGTGCACCTAACCTCAAAAGTGCGCACTAAGTATAAAGTCACTAAATAAAATCGATAAATTCACTTAGTAAAACAGGTAAAACTTAACAAATGAATTAAGTATTCCTTGTAGGCCTAGTTATTTGTTATAAGAAACATTCCAAAACTGCCATGTCACAAGCCAAAATGTAATAAAATTACTCAATTTCTCCGTAAATTGCAGTACACAAGCATAACTTGAATTGGAAATCAGTGTTATAAACAACCTCCTCACAGAGTGAAAATTATATTTTATTGATTGTATTGTAAATGAATAAAATACCAATTACATGATATACTCCATTAATATTTGAATAACCACATCACTTTAATAATTGGCATTCTATATATTTAAATATGACACGCCTGACTTTTAAACCAATTTGATCAATAACCATTTATACAGAGCAATATTTGTTTGAATCACCTAAACGGAAATTTAATTAGAGTCTATAAGGCGACAATCTAAATAATCTACTAAAAATTTAACTTAATCACAGCCGTTGGCCGACGCCATATAGCGAAAATAAAAGGTTCCCGAACTTGCCATAATGGTGTAGACTATAAAAACAATCAGAAATGTAACTGTCGCTAAGCGACTGTCGCTCCTGACTGGTCTTGGAGCAGTACCCAGCGACTGCAGCTCGCGGCTCTAGCGACAGTAGCTCCAAGCAAAACAGGACTATGCAAAACCCCTTTGATCAGTGTCCCGCGACTGCCGCTCAGCGACGGTCGCTGCGCGACCGTCGCACCTGTCGCTTCAGGCAAAACGTACCTTTAAGGTACGTTTTGCTTGGAGCGACAGGTGCGACGGTCGCGCAGCGACTGTCGCCGAGCGGCAGTCGCGGGATGGTAGACTGTTTTGCTTGAAGCGACAACTTCTTTGGCGTCACGAGACGTGGTACCGTCAGTGCACCTAACCTCAAAAGTGCGCACTAAGTATAAAGTCACTAAATAAAATCGATAAATTCACTTAGTAAAACAGGTAAAACTTAACAAATAAAGTATTCCTTATAGGCCTAGTTATTTGTTATAAGAAACATTCCAAAACTGCCATGTCACAAGCCAAAATGTAATAAAATTACTCAATTTCTCCGTAAATTGCAGTACACAAGTATAACTTGAATTTGGAAATCAGTGTTATAAACAACCTCCTCACAGAGTGAAAATTATATTTTATTGATTGTATTGTAAATGAAAAAAATACTAATTACATTATATACTCCATTATTTGAATAACCACATTACTTTAATAATTGGCATTTTATATATTTAAATATGACACGCCTGACTTTTAAGCCAATTTGATCAATAACCATTTATACAGAGCAACATTTTTTGAATCACCTAAACGAAAATTTAATTAGAAGTCTTTTAAGTCGACAATCTAAATAACCTAACTTACTAATATATTAAAATAACTTGTAAAATAATAAGACCAAGGAATAAAGGACAACGTCAGGTTTAAACTAACCTGACGTTGTCCTTAATTCTTTTGTCTTTGTAGGAGATATGTTTAAAATCATAAAGCGCGGGGTATTTTGCCACTTCTTCTAATAAACTGTCGTCTTATTCACCACTAAAATTTAACTTAATCACAGACGTTGGCCGACGCCATATAGCGAAAATAAAAGGTTACCGAACTTGTCAGAATGGTGTACACTATAAAAACAATCAGAAATGTAACTGTCGCTAAGCGACTGTCGCTCCTGACTGGTCTTGGAGCAGTACCCAGCGACTGCAGCTCGTAGCTCGAGCGACAGTAGCTCCAAGCAAAACAGGACTATGCAAAACCCCTAAGATCACTGTCCCGCGACAGCCTTTCAGCGACAGTCGCTGCGCGACCGTCGCACCTGTCGCTCCAAGCAAAACGTACCTTTAGACGACCTGTCGCTGAACAGTGCGCTGCAGAAAATAGATTGTTTTTTTTGCCACTCCCCGTATTATAAAGTGAAGGTTGGTATGATTATTCCTTCAAATACATTATTACTTCAAATATAGTGTTATTTATTACTTTTCAACTACTATTTCATAGTTCGACGAAATTACTATCAAGCTCATTCTTCCGACAGACTATGAAATTTCTCGAAATTGAAAAATAAGCTAAGCACTTTTTTGCAGATTCAATTTTGTTTAAATATTTCTGACACTAGTGAAAGATCCTTTTAAAAGTACTTACTTTGACGGTAATCAGCCGGGATTTTGCTTAAATCGATTGCAGCGTTGCATAGTACAATGTAGAAGAAAATCTGAAAATGTATTTCAATTAGATAAACAAAATCCTATGTACTTACTGATTACACAAAACTTACATAAAACAATTTTATTGGACACCACTGGCCATTAGGGTTGAAAGGAACTCTGATTCCTGCCCCTATCATCAAGACAAGATGGAATGAGCCTATCTAAAATAGCCTAAGTGAGAGGCAAACCCATCCAAGCACCTTCTTTACACATCTATTAAAACGAGCCCATAATATTTTTTTCTGTCGAAAATTACTGAAAATCTGGCGAACTAATTGATCTTGCTTGGAAATGCAAAACTCTTGGCTTGTCCGGAGAAATTTTCAAAAGCTTAAAACACCCTCACACACATCAACTGTAAACAGTGAAATAATTATTGCTAAACCACAGAATAAATGTATGAGTAGCTACATCCACTATCTGAATCTTTTTATGTCAGGATATGTATCACATACATAAATCATTTTGGTATCCACAATATCCCATCATTTCAATAATTGCTTTTATTTGAACGGAAGTTGAGGACCTCCTTGATGCCTTGGCTGGACAAAAGACTACTACTCGTTGAAGATGTGCAAGAGTATAGTCTAGTAGTTTACGCAACGATCGTGTAAAGATAGTCTTTACGACACAAGTATACATTTAAGTTCTACGAGTTACGTAAAGGCTTAAAACGTGAGTTGCTACACTCACTACTTTACCTTGAGGTTCATCCTATCTAGTATTATGAAGGTGACACAACTTGCGTACGCACAATTCTGGGCGACGACTACTAAACAGAATTAACTAGTCTTAGTCTGCGCTGCGGTTTACTTTGCACCATGACGTCATTGCTCTTCTCCAGGCGTATCACGGTGTCGAACAATGCATTTCCTTGAGTACGGTATTAATTTTGTCATTCTGTACGTTGTCTGGTTCACACTGTACTGCATTATAAATTTCATAACAATTAAGTGAGGACATTAAATGATTGTTCTTGCACTTTTGTGGTATTTGCAAATTGTCTGAGATAGAACTGTCATTATGTCACATTGTATAAGATGTTCAGCATAGTTCGACTTTTGGGTGTTTTCTTGAGGAGGTGTTCTTTAAAACGGGTTTTGAATGATATGGCTGTTTGTCCTATCATTAATATTAATTTCCCAATAATTTTGTATGTTTTTCTCCTATAATGTTCGTTAATGCCCCTAATAATGTGTTAACAGTCATTTAAAATTATTCCCCTTGTTAATAGATGTTACTTCGTTCAATTTGTTCAATTATCACCATATCTATCTAGTATTTTATCAAAAACCAAGAATAATCAATTTTACTTAGAATAATATATTATTGTAAGAACATTGCAATATAATAATAATAATCATAAATATAGTATTAGTTTTCATATTCTAAAGAAAACCAAAATTACTGTAGCAAGTGATATATGTGAATTCAACAGCTGTACTCTTCAACAATGGACGTGCGGCTTCCAGAACTTCAACCATTGCCTCTTCCCCTCTTCCCAGTAGACTAGGCCCGTTTTCAAAAAAAGGCAATGCAAGAAGCATTTCATGTAACAATTGGGGAAACAACGTTTTTAGGGTATTTCGACCCTGCTGAGTACGAATCTGCCTGTTGCCAACGCGAAATTTGAACCGGACCTGCGGTATTCAAGATGGCGGCCAAAACTCTGTTTGCCCCATATCTCCCTTGTTAGTTGGCCTAAAATAATGGTTTAAACGTGTATATAGGGGGTTTTCAGATGCCAAGCACATTAAAACACTCAAAATTAACTTAAATTAAGTTTTGAGGGCATATCTTCCAAAATGGCGCCCAAGATGGCCGCCAAAAACTCTAATTTACGCATATCTCCCTTGTTTTTTGGCTTAAAATAATTATTTAGACGTCTGCATAGGGGTTTTCTACGATGCCAAACACATTGCAACACCCAAAATTTACTTACATTAAGTTATGGGGGCATATATTCCAAGATGGCACCCGAGATGGCCGCCAAAAACTCTTATTTCCATATATATATATATCCCTTGTTTGTTTGTTTAAATTAATTGTTTAAACGTCTACAAAGGTATTTTCTCGCATGTTAAATCACATTGCAACACTAATTATTTACTTTCTTTGAGTTTAGATGTTTCTAAGATGGCAATAAAAACTTTATCGTGCTTACGTGATCTCCGTGCGTATTATTGTATTTAGTTTTTAAAACCAGTCAGATATCTATTAGTGGCTGAATATTTGCTACTATTTTTGAAATACTAATTGAAATTTAGCAATGTAAAGTAGAAGGGATATTGTTTAATGTACTCTGGTGGCACCGTAGATAACGCGTAGTATAACAGAACCTGTAATTAAGTAATTGTATAATTAATTGTGTATGATGTTGACGAATTTATCACTTATTTAAGGTGTCCAGTTATGTAAATATATATTTATTGTAAAATATAACGATGCCATACGTATGATTTGTATGTTTTATGGCAATAAATTATTTGATTTGATTTGATGTTATTTGAACGTTTAGTCCAACAGAATCTGTAAAAATTATTTTTTAGACCATACCTAAAATATTGTATTGATCTTGTGGTACCACCCATCAATGGAGGTTTGTTTACCATGGGCCTCAATGGATGAAATAGATTTTTTAAGTTTTTTTATGGCAGCATTGTGTTGGCTGCACTGATCAACATTAATTAGTAAACAATTCTTATTATTTTTAATATCTTATGTTGGCCAACCGTCTATAAAAGTTAGTTTATGAAGAGAAAGTAAACAATTGTATACATGTGTACAAAATAATTGTTAATAAGGTAACATCTTTTGTTTTCCAACCGTCTATAAAAGTTTGTTTGTGAAGAGAAAGTAAACATTTGTAAATTTCTAAGAAATAATTATTTGAGGTAAGTATAATTTGTATTAAATCCTTAGTTTATTCAAAATTAGCAATAGGGAGTTTTTGAACCATTCGTTAAATAATCACGGTAAACGCAATACGTTATTTTCACATTTAATAAAGGAGAAAACATAACGAATAGCGTTTACCGTAATTATTTAACAAATGGTTCAAAAACTCCTTATTGATAAGTTAAAATGAACTAAGGATTACAAATTATTGTACTTACCTCAAATAATTATTTCGTAGAAATGCATACAGATGTTTACTTTTTCTTCACAAGCAAACTTTTATAGACGGTTGGGAAACAAAAGATGTTACCTTATTAACAACTATTTTGTACACATACAATTGTTTACTTTCTCTTCATAAACTAACTTTTATAGACGGTTGGCCTACATAAGATATTAAAGAGAATAAGAATTGTTTGCTGATTAATGTTGATCAGTGCAGCCAACACAATGCTGCCATAAAAAAAACTTAAAAAAAATCTATTTCATCCATTGAGACCCATGGTAAACAAACCTCCATTGATGGGTGGTACCACAAGATCAATACAATATAACAGTACAGTATCATTGTTAATATTGTCACCAAATTGTTTATTAGGCTATTATTTATTAATGTGTTGTAAAGAACCTTTGTTTAACTTAATTTACATGCACCACCTCTTGCGGATTTTAGGTATGGTCTAAAAAATAATTTTTACAGGTTCTGTTGGACTAAACGTTCAAATAACATCAAATCAAATCAAATTATTTATTGCCGTAAAACATACAAAACATACGTATGGCATCGTCATATTTTACAATAAATATCTATTTACATAACTGGACACCTTAAATAAGTGATAAATTCGTCAACTTCATACACAATTAATTCTACAATTACTTAATTACAGGTTCTGTTATACTACGCGTTATCTACGGTGCCACCAGAGTACATTAAACAATTTGCCTTCTACTTTAACATTGCTAAATTTCAATTGGTATTTCAAAAATAGTAGAAAATATTCAGCCACTAATAGATATCTGACTGGTCTTAAACACTAAATACAATAATACACACGGAGCTCACGTAAGCACAATAAAGTTTTTATTGCGATCTCAGAAACATATGTCATCTAAACTCAAAGGAAGTAAATAATGAGTGTTGCAATGTGATTTAACATGCGAGAAAATACCTTTGTAGACGTTTAAATAATTAATTTAAACACACAAACAAGGGATGTATATATACAGAAATAAGAATTTTTGGCGGCCATCTTGGAATATATGCCCCCATAACTTAATGTAAGTAAATTTTGGGTGTTGCAATGTGTTTGGCATCGGAGAAAACCCCTATGCAGACGTCTAAATAATTATTTTAAGCCAAAAAACAAGGGAGATGCGTAAATTAGAGTTTTTGGCGGCCATCTTGGACGCCATTTTGGAAGATATGCCCTCAAAACATAATTTAAGTTAATTTTGAGTGTTTTAATGTGCTTGGCATCTGAAAACCCCCTATATACACGTTTAAACCATTATTTTAGGCCAACTAACAAGGGAGATATGGGGCAAACAGAGTTTTGGTCGCCATCTTGGATACAGCACTTCCGGTTCAAATTTCGCGTTGGCAACAGGCAGATTCGTAATCAGCAGGGTCGTAATACACTAAAAACGTTGTTTCCCCAATTGTTACATGAAATGCTTCTTGCACTTTATAGAGAGGGATTTTTTAATTTTGGGCCTGGTCTACAGGTCCTGCAAGCTCTTCATAGTGTTCACTTCATTTGACAGGACATTGTGCCTAATTAAATTCAACTAATTCCAAAGTTTGGCCTAAGAAATAAATCGCATAGAACCAAGAAGTAATAGGGACAACTGCCCATCAGAAGAGTACCGAATTTAAATTAATCAGCCTAGCCTAATAGGCCCAACTCAAAATTTAATACGTGAAGAAATATATAATTCCAATTGAACATTTAGTCTAAATTTAATCCTTGGATCTTATTTTACCAAACTTTAACTTCAGTGACTTCTTTTGTCACCTTTCATTGGACATTGCCATATTTTATCATCATAGCCTATTTCACAGCAATGACTAAATAAAACAAATTTCTTTTTCATTGATAGTTCCATTAAATTCAATCAATTCTGTTTTTAATTCCTCTAATAAATCTCATATTGTAACTTATAAAATATGTATTTCTAAAGTAATATTTAATTATAGTAATAATTACATTTTCCGTAGTGGAAATCCTAGACCCAAAGCTTATAACCGTATATTTTATTGAACATGTGTCAGGCCAATAATAGAATTTATACAATTTACCCTTGGATCATTGACCAATAATGACGCCCGATATTAGCGGCTATATAGGTTTTGACTAAAATTTGTATCCCTCAGTTCCATATGCGGCTGTATAGTATTTAGATACTATTTTGAGGGATTCTACTTCGGGAACTCAAAACATGACTATATTTTATTGCATTTAAACTCCCGATAATAAGTTTAAAAAGTTGTATTTATAATAAGTCTTTATTTCAATATCATGGTGCAATACAGGTTTTGTAAAAGATATTAAACAAACCCTTAAAAGTGTGCACTCAACAACTTACCAATAAAAACAGCAGAAACTCGTCCATTGCGAAATCTTCTGCTACTGGCGTTACAGAAAATCGAACTGCGGTTATATAGCCTAATGTGAAAACATCTGTCTCAACAAATAATTATCACGGATTTTGGCGACCAGCTGTAGTGTGCCACGTTCCCTTATTAAGTGTAATTATTTATAATCGTATCTATATAATTTGAAACTGTTAGTCACAGCTAATCGGCTGGGCG